TCAAATCCCCATGCCCCTTTCCTAGTTTTTTGGGGGAAAGTAGAGAACTTCTGGTTACCCTTTTCATCATATTCTCCCCTAAAATCACTCCTTAGGCAACTGTCCTCCATCTGATCCCTCCTTCACCTTGGGCCATCTCACACGGGCAGAATGCCCATCCTCACTCAGCACCCCTCTGCGATGGTGAAGTCTGTAGCCACGACACTACCTGAAAGCCACTCGTTCCGCATGGAAGGCAGTTTAATGTCGTTCCCTCATGCCCCTCCCTTTCTCTTTCTACTCAATTCCAATTCCAAGTAGCTATGTCAATGGCTCTTTATTTTGAAAGAGCCATTGAAGGCTGGGAGCAAGCTCTGTTTCCCAGCCCCTTGGCCTAGTGAGGCAAAGACCCCATTGGGGGACAGGCAAGCAGAAGGACAAGGGGGAGAAAGGATTTTATCATGCCTGAGAGAGCTGTGGGGCTCAGCTCTCTGAGAGCAGTCTCCTTGCTCCTTCAGTGGAACAGAGGAAGAGAAACAGTGGTCCTAAGAATAAAATCAGTTGAAATAATACTTAGGCAGCCTGGGCATGGTGGCTCATGCCCGTAATCCCAGCACTTTGGGAGGCTGAGGCAGTCGGATCATGAGGTCAGGAGTTTGAGACCAGCCTGACCAATATGGTGAAATCCTGTCTTTACTAAACAGATAAAAATTAGCTGGGCATGGTGGTGGGCACCTGTAATCCCAGCAACTCAGGAGGCTGAGGCAGAAGAATTGCTTGAACCTGGGAGGCAGAGGTTGTAGTGAGCAGAGATCATGTCACTGCACTCCAGCCTGGGCAAGAGAGCGAGACTCTATCTCAGAAAAAAAAAAAAAGAAATAATACTTAGGCAAGAGATAATCTGTTTACCTATAATTAGCAGAATCTCTTTCAGAGTGATTTTCTCACCATGGAGCCCTTGCATTAGGTGGACCAACAAAACCACAATAAACCCTTCTTGGGGCCAGATGTCCTGAGGGCCTTCTTACCCTACATCACAACCATGGGAAAACAAAACCTTAGCGTTCAACCTCACCCCCCTTTTCCTCCACCAACACACGTACACGATCTGTCGCTCAGTCTGGAGTGCAGTTTGTGGTAATAGTTCACTGCAACCTCAAACTCCTGGGCTCAAGCAATCTTCCTGCCCTGGCCTTCCCAACTGCTAGGATTATAGGTGTGAGCCACTGTGCCTGGCCATACTTTCTTTTCTTTTTCTAATTTTGAGACAGGGTCTCATTCTGTCACCCAGGCTAGAATGTAGTAGCTTTTTCCTGGTCTGTGTAAGCCTGGACTGAAAAAGCCCTTTACAACCAGTGTGGCACGGTCCAGAGCAGCTCTAGCTCCTGTTCACCAAGGGGATCTCCTACTTTGCTATAGTAGGAGGATTTGGGATAGACATTTGCAGCCTGCACTGCTAGGGAACCTACTGGATGAGTGACTAGAGAGACGACAGCCATGGCTCAGATGAAACATAATCCTGCCTACAGGCGCTGGTTGGGAAAATGGGCTTAGGAAGCCTGGGAGGTGGGAAGGCTCTGGGGTGCGGCTGCACAGGCTCTGGGTGTCCTATCTCAGGCCTCTTCCAGGGCATGTGTTGCTCAGGATCCTAGCCCTGGTTTATCCCTCCTCAAGGGAGTTAATAAAGTGGAAAGAAATGTGGCTCTTGCCAAGAGCCCCTGGCAGTTTAGCAAATGCCATTGTCTGTGCTGTGTCCAGTGCCCTTGATTTGAGGCTGTTTTGTTCCCAGCTCAAATCAGTCCCTTTCATTGCCAGTCTCTTCCCAGCTGCAGCTTGGCACAGAGCCATGTTCCACTCCCAGCCTTGGGCTGCCAGTGTGTAGCTGTGTGGAGGAGTCCAGCTGGTTGGTGGCTTTACCAAAGCTGGCATCACAGGGAAGTGTGTGTTGGAAAGGACCCTCCTTCAAGGAGAGGTAGACAAGGCAGGGAGTGGAGGATGGGAGCCGCTGTGAAGGGAATCAGGAAACAGTGGAATGGGTCAGTAGAGGCCTGAGGAAAAATGATGGGAGGAGAGGGGAAGGGAGTGAAGGGGAAACACCTCCCCGCCTCCCAGGCTTCCTAAGGCCGCTGCTTCCGTTTCTGTTCACGCCTTCTGATTCCGACCCCAGAGGATGTGAAGATCCTCACGGTGCAGGACTCTGGGATGTCTCATTGTATCCTGGCATTGAGAACCAGGATACACTGTGGCAGTGTCTTGTTTATGCTCTAGCCAAATGTCTCTAATACTCTTCAAAGTTCTTGGACTTCCCTGGCCCCTGTGAGGTGGATCTGAGTGTGCCAGGTGACAGCAGCAGTTCCTTCAGGCAATGAAAGGCAGGACTGGGCTGGCCACAGGGGGACAAGTGCCTACTACAGAGCGGAGAAGGCGAGAACACACACCCAGAGAGTGTGCGCCCTGCTGTCCCCCACCAAGACTCGGCTCAGTACCCTTCTACAGTGGGCAAACCTTGTTCCTGGTGCTCTGCACACTCCGTGCCTGCTAACTTAGGAGCCTCTTCAATACTAAGCCTCCCTGTCTCCCCACTGAATCCAGTGAGGGCTTGCAGGTAAAAAAGGTATCAAGAGATAAGTATGATCTGCCTGTAGGCAGAGCTGTTTCTGGGAGATGTGCAGTTGTTTCTAGTGGTCTTGAAATTCTTTCTGAACCTCCTTCCCCGATTCAGTCCTCCCTTTTCTTCCTTCACTTTGTCAAAACAAAATATAAATGTTTACAAGCCAAACCACATGCATCTCACAGGTATCAAATTTTATTAATAATAGAACAAACAATAATAGTAACAGACACAATGTATTGAAGGCTCACTATGTCCTAGTGGCTATATAAAATCATCAGTCTACTCTATTCCTATAAGAATCTGAGATTAGCGAAGTGAAACAGCTTGCCCAAAGTCACTTAGCTGGTGGAATTTGGATTTAAACTCAGGTCTGACTTCAAAGTCCTTGCTCTTTCTTTCTTTCTTTCTTTTTTTTTTTTGATAGAGTCTCGCACCGTTGCCCACATTGGAGTGCAGTGGCATGATCTCAGCTCACTGCAATCTCCGCCTCCCAGGTTCAAGTAATTCTCCTGCCTCAGCCTCCCAAGCAGCTGGGATTATAGACACACGCCGCCATGCCTGGCTAATTTTTTTTTTTTTTGAGACAGAGTTTTTTGCTCTTGTTACCCAGGCTGGAGTGCAATGGCACGATCTCGGCTCACCGCAACCTCCACCTCCTGGGTTCAGGCAATTCTCCTGCCTCAGTCTCCTGAGTAGCTGGGATTACAGGCACACACCACAATGCCCAGCTAAGTTTTTGTATTTTTAGTAGAGACAGGGTTTCACCATATTGACCAGGATGGTCTCGATCTCTTGATCCACCCGCCTCGGCCTCCCAAAGTGCTGGGATTACAGGCTTGAGCCACCGCGCCCGGCATGCCTGGCTAATTTTTTGTATTTTTTTTTTTTTTTTTTAGTAGAGATTGGGGTTTCACCATGTTGGCCAGGCTGGTCTCAAACTCCTGACCTCGTGATCCACCTGCCTTGGCCAAAATGCTGGGATTACAGGTGTGAGCCACCATGCCCAGCAGTCCTTGCTATTTTAACCACTTATGTTATACCCTGAAAAAGGCATGAAACTCTAAGTTTAAAATTGCAACAATTTCTTTCATACCACCTATCATACTGACTATAAGTCACTGACGAAAATGTTTGTCTTTCTCCTCCAATAAAGTCAAAGCTCTTCAAACGCAATCATATACCAGGTATATTATCTCATTTGATTCTGTAAGGAAGGCAATATTATCAGCTCCATTTTACAGATGAGAAAATAGAGGCTTAGAGGGGTTGAGTAACTCACCCGTGTCACACAGCTGGCAAGTGGTGAGCTGGAGAGTGAAGTTGTGAAGTCCAATTCTGGAGCCCAAGTGTTTAACTGCAGCATTTCACTGCCTCCCCAGTTGTGGAAGGAATAAGTGAACTAATGGGGTTGGGTGGGGCTACACTTAGTGTGCTCCTGAAATCACAACTCAAGAGCCAATGTCGATCCAGTGGGAAGAGAGGGAGAGAAGGCAGGATGGAGGGGACCTCATCCCTTTTCTGATGCAAAGAGGGAGGACAGGAGAAATGGAGAAAGGAAAAGTGTTTATGGTAAAGGTTTGGACCCAGAAGGGTGAGGCAATTCATTGAATTGCATTGTAAAGTGGTCATAAGAAGACGTGTGCGTGACCTGGGCTCAGACTCATGCCTGTAATCCCAGCACTTTGGGAGGCTGAGACAGGTAGATCACCTGAGGTCAGGAGTTGAAGACCAGCCTGGCCAACATGGTGAAACCTGTCTCTACTAAAAATAAAAAAAATTAGCCCAGAATGGTTGTGGGTGCCTATAATCCCAGCTACTTGGGAGGCTGAGGCAGGAGAATTGCTTGAACCTGGGAGGTGGAGGTTGCAGTGAGCCAAGATCGAGCCATTGCACTCCAGCCTGGGCAACAAGAGTGAAACTCCATCTCAAAAAAAAAAGGCATGTATATGATATTATTTATAGCCCTAGGTTAGGGTTGGGAAAGGGAAGCTGAGGGAAAAATTACTGAACTACTGTCAAAGCTTCTTAGCTGTGAGAAATAAATTCACTGGAGGAAGATCACACATCATTTTGGAGAGGAAAGTATCCCCGTATCCCTGATATGATGGATGACCTACAGTTGGTAGGCCAGCCTGTTCCAAGCAAGCTGGACAGTATCAGGATGCCAACCATCAGGTGAAATGGTAGAAGCTTTCTGACCTTCTCTCCTCAGGAAGTTGCTTCTTAGGAGACTAATCTGCCAGGTCCTCTGTCTTACTCTGACCACTGCTTATCCTTGACAGCCAAGAGCTTCCTCTCTATGGCCCTTCTTTGCCACCCATCCCACTCCCCTCCCCCTTCCATTTCTCCCCGGAGATCTCGTCTCCCCCAGCCTACCATTGTTCCCCAACACACACTTCTTACTCACCTGGATGTTCCTCTTGATGATGTCCCTGGTCAGTTGTACCTTGCCTGTGCTGGGATCCACCCCTGCCAGCGGCACCATGACCTCGCCGATGACATCATCCCGAGAGAAGCGGTCAAAGCTGAGGACGAGGAAGTGCAGCACCAGGTCCTGCAGCTGGCTGTAGGGGATGCCATAGAAGGTGAAGGTCTCGTCAAACACAGGGTCCAGGGTCTTCCGCAGCACTCTGGTCTTCACCCGATGCCGCTTGTCAGGAAGGATGGTCATTTTGATGTAGGGGTCAGATCCCTGGGTCTGGTCATCCATCACTGGCAGCCCATGGGCCTCCTGGATTGTCACCACCAGGGCTTTTTTCGGGAAGTTATAGTCCACTGAGAAGGTGAGGGATCCTAGCATGACATCCTCCTCTGGAGATGATGGAGAGGTGGTTTTGCTCTCCCCGGGGGTCAGGCTTGTAATAGGGCTCCTTAGTTCTTCCCCATAGTCCATTTTGATGGGTAATTGGTCTATACAAGATCCAGAGCTAGGCCCCCTGGGACCTTTGTCTTGGCTCAGCAGGCCAGCCTCTGCTGCGTCCACCAATAGGTTCCTACGTCCACCTTCCCTCCCAGTACCATCTTTGTCTCTCCGCACTTTGATGATTTTCTTCTTGTTGCTGAGGGTCTCTGGGTATATGCTGATGCCTTTGAGCATGTGAATAAACTTGTATGGTGGGTTCTTTTGCTTCTTCTCTGCCTGCTGGTGGCAGCATGACCAGACAAAGACGGTCACCGAGACACACACCACCAGCACAGAGGCCCCGATGAGGCCGGCCACCACTGGTGACACATCTGAAGGTGGAGACCAGAGATGCATCAGGGCAGGTGGATTTTACCTCCTGTCTAGATCTCCCCGGCTCAGTGCTGCTGCTGGAGCCAAGCTCATCTGCAGTCTACCTCTAAAGCACACTGTGCTCTTCTGGGCTTTAGAGTTTTTCCCTTCTATTAGAGGCCCCCTCTCCCAACCTCTCCAACCATGCCATGGTTTTTCCTTCTGGCCAAACCAAGATGAAAGGCTTATCTTCTCTAGAGCCTTCTCTGAAGCACCCCACTTGACTCTGTTCTTTCCTAGACCTTCTCTCTGCCCTTATAGACTTGGTTTGCTCATACTGATTTGTGCTTCACATAAAGCTGCTCTGTACGTGTTATAGGATCACCTTTTTACATGGGCACCCGTTCACATCAACTATTACACAAGATCTCTGGTTTCAGGAGGATATTCCATAGTATCCAGAGCAGGGCCTGCACTGACTGACTCACTGTCAGGGTAGGGTGGAAGGATGTGGAGCTGAGTTTAGATGGTGTTGGTAGGGTGCTCAGGGTGGTAAAAACGAATGGATGGCAAAGGGAAGAACTCTGGGCTTATGCATTTTCAAAATGTGTTCCAAAATTTTAGCCCCCAGGTATTTAAAATATAAGGCTGGATGCAGTGACTCCTACCTGTAATCCCAGCACTTTGGGAGGCTGAGGCGGGCAGATCATTTGAAGTCAGGAGTTCAAGACTAGCCTGACCAACATGGCGAAACCCCATCTCTACTAAAGATATAAAAAATTAGCTGGGCGTGGTAGCATGTGCCTGTAATCCCAGCTATTTGGGAGGCTGATGCAGGATAATCACTTGAACCTGGGAGTCAGAGGTTGCAGTGAGCTTAGATCACGCCGCTGCACTCCAGCTTGGGTGACAGAGTGAGACTTCATCTCAAAAAAGAAAAAAAAGAAGTAGTCTTCCTCCTGGGTGAATATATCCATTGCAAGGATAAAATAGGTGTGCGTGTGTGCGTGTGTGTGTGTGTGTGTGTGTGTTTCATGTATACATACATAATTCTAAGTAGGAAGAAATAGTGACTTTCTCTGTTTATTATTATTACCTTAATAAATCCTTTGCTGGAAGAAATAGGAATTTTCTTTCCTATTAGTGGAAAATGTCGCATCTTTGCTCAAATGTCACCTTCTTAGGCCTTTCCTGACTCCCCTATTTAAAAGTGCAATCTTCTTCATCCTTGCCACCCACTCTTCCTAGTCTTGCTAAATTTTTTTTGACATGCCTTGTCATTCTGTCTCTCAATACACACACCCTCACACATATAAGAAAAAAAAATAAAACACACACACAACTATGTAAGAATAAACACCCACACACACATTATTTTACAATAATTGTTTATCTTCACTAGAATATAAGCCTCATGAGGACAAAAATGTATGTCTGTTGCTGGGCGTGGTGGCTCACGCCTGTAATCCCAGCACTTTGAGAGGCTGAGGCGGGTGGATCACGAGGTCAAGAGATCGAGACCATCCTGGTCAACATGGTGAAACCTCGTCTCTACTAAAAATATAATCCCAGCTACTCCGGAGGCTGAGGCAGGAGAATAGCTTGAACCCAGGAGGCAGAGGTTGCAGTGAGCAGAGATCATGCCACTGAACTCCAGCCTCGGTGACAGAGTGAGACTCCATCACAAAAAGAAAAAAAGAGAGAGAGAAAAATAGCCAGGCACAGGTGGCGCGTGCCTGTAGTCCCAGCTACTTGGGAGACTGAGGTGGGTGAATCGCTTGAGTCCAGGAGTTCTGGGCTGTAGTGTGTGTGCTATGCAAATCGGGTGTCTGCACTAAGTTCAATATGGTGACCTCTCGGGAGCGGGGGACCACCAGGTTGCCTAAGGAAGGGTGAACCAGCCCATGCTGGAAACACAGCAGGTCAAAACTCCCATGCTGATCAGTAGTGGGATTGCACCTGTGAATAGCCACTGCACTCCAGCCTGGGCAACATAGCGAGACCCTGTCTCTTAAAAAATAAAAATAAAAAAGTAAAAAAATAAAAATTAAAAAAAGAGAAAATATATTTTTTTCATTTCCCATACCCTAGAGTCTTATCTTTTCCCACAAAAATTGGACCCCTGCCTTAGATAATTAGGCTTTGGGTTTTTTTGCCCCCTCAAGTTTACTGAGGCTAAGTTGGGTTTAGGCCTTAAAGATCCAGATAAGGCCTATAGTTTCTCCACTTTACTTTTTAAAGGATCACTTGGAAGGCAGGGAGAAACTAAGGAAATAAATGCAGCTAGGGCAACATGGCAAAACCCCATCTCTACAAAAAAAAATTACAAAAATTAGCAGGGCATGGTGGCATGCGCCTGTAGTCCCAGCTATTTGGGAGGCAAGGTGGGAGGATCACTTGAGTCTGGGAGTCAGAGGTTGCAGTGAGCTAAGATCATGCCACTGCACTCCAGTCTGGGCAACAGAGCAAGGAAAAAAAAAAGGAAATAAACATAATTCTGGCATATTCCAGATTCTTTTAGAAACATTCCTTTTTTTTTTTTTTTTTTTTTGAGACGGAGTTTTGCTCTTGTTGCCCAGCCTGGAGTGCAATGGCACAATCTTGGCTCACCATAACCTCTGCCTCCCAGGTTTAAGCAATTCTCCTGCCTCAGCCTCCGGAGTAGCTGGGATTACAGGCATGTGCCACCACCCCCGGCTAATTTTATATTTTTAGTAGATTAGTAGAGACAGGGTTTCTCCATGTTGGTCAGGCTGGTCTCAAACTCTAAACCTCAGGTGATCCACCTACCTCAGCCTCACAAAGTGCTGGGATTACAGGTGTGAGCCATCACGCCAGGCCTGAAACATTCTTTATCAGGCATCTGTGCAGCTCACTGCTTCCCTTATTGTGAGCCTCAATCCTCACTGCATAAAAGAAATATTTCCTGTCTGTCCCAAGTAAGATAATGTCCCCAACACCCTTCCTTATTTTTGTTCATGGAATGTATTATCCTGATATATATTTATAAATCTGTCTTTGATCATTAGACAAGCTTAATAAAGTAGGAACTTTTTCTGTTTGTTCACTGCTATAGACCCAGGTCTGAGAACAGGTCCTATGTACTATGCAGCACATAGTAAGTGCTCAGTAAGCAAGAGTCAGGGAATGCAAAACAGCCTCCACAGATTACAAAGAGAGGATTGAGGCCAAGTGTGGTGGCTCACACCTGTAACCCCAGCATTTGGGGAGGCTGAGGCGGGCAGATCACCTGAGGTCAGGAGTTTGAGATCAGCCTGGCCAACATGGTGAAATCCTGTCTCTACTAAAAATACAAAAATTAGCTGGGCATGATGGCAAGTGCCTGTAATCCCGGCTACCTGGGAGGCTGAGGCAAGAGAATAGCTTGAACCTGGGAGGTGGAGGCTGCAGTGAGCTGAGATCACACTACTGCACTCCAGCCTGGGTGACAGAGCAAGACTCTCTCTCAAAAAAAAAAAAAAAGAAGAAGAAGAAAGAAAGAGGGCTGGGCGCGGTGGCTCATGCCTGTAATCTCAGCACTTTGGGAGGCCGAGGTGGGTGGATCACGAGGTCAAGAGATCGAGACCTTTCTGGTCAACATGGTGAAACCCCGTCTCTACTAAAAATCCAAAAAATTAGCTGGGCATGGTGGTGCGTGCCTGTAATCCCAGCTACTCAGGAGGCTGAGGCAGGAGAATTGCCTGAACCCGGGAAGTGGAGGTTGCGGTGAGCCGAGATCGCGCCATTGCACTCCAGCCTGGGTAACAAGAGCGAAACTCCGTCTCAAAAAAAAAAAGAAAGAAAGAAAAAAAAGAGAGGATTAAGTCAAGATGATTACATATATGGGGATAAATGTAAATTTCTATTTGGCAATAACCTCACTTGATGAGTTTAGGCAAAAATGACTTAAGAATTTAGGCAACCACAAGCTTGGACTATAATTAGGATAATGCCTACTATTTTCCCTTCTATTACAGGTATTCCCTCCAACCAATCCATGGCTTTTTCTCCCCTCTGAACCTGGATGAAAGGTTTATCTTCCCTAGAAAGCCTGTGAGCATAGTGAGCGCGATGTCCAGATTACAGGAGAGGCAGGTATAATTTCATCTGCACTGGTCATAATACACATATAATATTGTACACAGCAGTGACAATAATAAAACTGCTATTTTTTGTGTAAATTTATATGTCCCTGCCAGGCATTGTAGCAGAGCTTACTTTTTTTTTTTTCTTTTGAGACAGGGTTTCATTCTGTCCCCCAGGCTGAGGTGCAGTGACACAAACTCAGCCCACTGCAACCTCCCTCACTTGGGCTCAAGTGATCCTCCTGCCTCAGCCTCCCTCAGCTGGAACTACAGGCACATGCCACCACACCTGGCTAATTTTCGTATTTTTTGTAGAGACAGAATTTTGCCATGTCATACAGGCTGGAGTGCAGTGGCATGGTCACAGCTTACTGCAACCTTGACCTTCCCAGCTCAAATGATCCTCTTGCCTCGGCCTCCTGAGTAACCGGGACTACAGGTATGTGCCATCACTCCTGGCTAAATCTTTTCTTTTCTTTCTTTTTTTTTTTTTTGAGATGGAGTTTGCTTCCTTGCCCAGACTGGAGTACAATGGCACGATCTTGGCTCACTGCAACCTCCACCTCCCAGGTTCAAGGGATTCTCCTGCCTCAGCCAGCGTCCTGAGTAGCTGGGATTATAGGCATGTGCCACCATGTCTGGCTGTTTTTGTATTTTTCGTAGAGACAGGGTTTCACCATGTTGGTCAGGCTGGTCTCGAACTCCTGACCTCAAGTGATCTGCCCACCTCAGCCTCCCACCATGCCTAACCAAGGAGGAGTTACATTTTATTAAAAATATACACTTATTATTATTTTTTTTTGGAGACAGGGTCTCACTCTGTGGCCCAGGCTGGAATGCAATGGTACAATCACAGCTCACTGCAGCATCAAACTCTTGGGCTCAAGCCATCTTACTCCCCTAGACTCCTGAATGGCTGGGATTACAGGCGTTAGCCACTGTGCCTGGCCAATTTTTAAATTTAGAGATGAGCCTTCACTATATTGTCCAGGCTGGTGTTGAACTCCTGGGCTCAAGCGATTCTCCTGCTTTATAGTCTCCACCAAATTGTTGGGATTCCAGGTGTAAGCCACCATGCCTAACCAAGGAGGAGTTACATTTTATTTAAAATATATACTTGTTATTATTATTTTTTTAGAGACAGGGTCTCACTCTGTGACCCAGGCTAGAATGCAGTGGTGCAATCACAACTCACTGAAGCATTGAACTCCTGGGCTCAAGCTATCTTAGTGCCCTAACTCATGAATAGCTGGTACTACAGGTCCATGCCACCATGCCTGGCTAATTAAAACAAAAACTTTAAATTTAGAGACAAGGTCTTGCTATGTTTCCCAGTCTGGTCTCAAATTCTTGGCCTCAAGATTCTCTTGCCTCAGTCTCTTGAGTTGCTGGAATTATAGGGGTGACCCACTGTACCCGGATACATTTTAAAGTAATACAGATAAGGAGCAAAACCTTATTAACAAAATAAATCAAGGTGACCATGCCTATATCCATACCAAATACTAACAGTGTTTCATCTCAAAGTGTTAAATCAAATAGCTTTTAGGGAAAGTTTTCACAAAATGGAGACAGCCTCGGTGGTAAGCTACTTGAAGGCAGGCAGGAACAATATCCTATGCATCTTTGAGTCCCTCAGAGTCTCTTGCTTCTAATAGGAATTCAGTAAATATTTGTTTGAACAACTAATTGGATTCAATTGCCAATAAGAATAGGCACAGCCTAAGGAAGTCACTCTCCATTCAGCAATCAGGTGCTTTCCTGCAAATTGCTTGCTACTCATTAGTGAAACTGAACATTGTCTCTATGAGAAGAGGAACACAGAAAACTCCCAAGACGGGTATATTTTTGAGAATGATCGTAAAGGGAGACCTAAAGGCCCAGATTAGGAGATACTGGGCAATTCTTTTGGCTCTATCATAGATTTATTCTATGCAGCAGTTGGGGAACCCACTGCTATTTACAAGCTTACAATGCATCAACGTGTATTGTTAGAAAATGGAGATATGGTAGAAAAGAGAGAGATGAAGAATTCTCATATTCCAGGAGGATAGAGAAGGAGAAGAGAAATAGATGAACCCATCTTTGAATGACCTATGTGTTCTCCCTGGCCTTATTTCCTATTTTTGCTGTCCTTTCTTTATTTTAGTAATTGTTAACTCTTGCCTCTCTTCCTGAAACCCAAGACAGTGAGCTAGAAACATCAAGATGTTGAAATCCAGAGCTCTCTGTCTTACTTGAGTCAAAAGCTTGGTGGGAAATGGAAGTTGAAACTAATGGCTGAAGTGAGTGTTTTAAAGTAGCTGTAAATTGCAGTGACCTGTGCTTCTTGCTCCTTTTGTCCTCCCTGGTCATGGATAATTGAGTATTGGCTTAGTGTATCACCCAAGTGCTGTAGCATTTGAAATGAAGTCCTCCATGAGATGCGAAAATTCAGAAGTGGCAGTTTTCCATGTAAGAGACCCCCTGTAATGGTTTAAAGACCTGCAAGACACATCTGGGCTATTAGCCAGCTCCTTCAGCCTCTGACCAGAACTGCTTTTATTGATACTCCCTTTTCTAAACATAGCCTTTCACTGTCAAGTACGCCAGTATAATACAATGGAATGAGAATAAATTTTGGCTTCAGCCAGACATTGGTTTAAATCCTAACATTGGCCGGGCACGGTGGCTCACGCCTGTAATCCCAGCACTTTGAGGCGAGCAGATCATCTGAGGTCAGGAGTTTGACACCAGCTTGACCAAACTGAGAAATCCCATCTCTACTAAAAATACAAAATTAGCCAGGCATGGTGGTGCATGCCTGTAATCCTAGCTACTCGGGAGGCTGAGGCATGAGAATCACTTGAACCCGGGAGGCAAAAGTTGCGGTGAGCCAAGATTGCGCCATTGCACGCCAGCCTGAGCAACAATAGCGAAACTGTCTCAAAAAAAAAAAAAAATCCTAGCACTACCTTTACTCGTTTGTTTGACTTTAGCGAAGTTATTTTATTTCCGAGCCTTGGTTTTCTTGTCTGGCAAGTACACATAATAATACATACACGGGCATGGTGGTTCATGCCTGCAATCCCAGCACTTTGGGAGGCTGAGGAGGGTGGAACACGAGGTCAAGAGATCAAGACCTTCCTGGCCAACATGGTAAAACCCTGTCTCTACTAAAAGAACAAAAATTAGCTGGGTGTGGTGGTGTGCGCCTGTAGTCCCAGCTACTCGGGAGGCTGAGGTAGTAAAATCTCTTGAACCCGGGAGGCAGAGTAAGCAGAGATTGCGCCACTGCACTCCAGCCTGGAGACAGGGTGAGACTCTATCTCAAAAAAAAAAAAAAAAAAAAACACACACACGGGGGAGTATTTGTTAGGATTAAATAAAATATAGTACGTAAAAGGTTGATATAATTTATTTTCCATTTTCCAATAATAGTCCCTCTAAGAGAAATCACTATATTATGTTCCACACCATCTCCTTTTTCAAGGATTCTGGACCTGCAGTTAGAGAAAGGAATCTGTTGGAAGGACATAAGAAGAAGGAAGAAATCATGAATTGCTCATGTGATCACAAAAGGGACTTTTGTTTTAGAAATTTAGAACTCAAAGAAAAAAATTCAGAAGGTGAAGTGTAAGAAAAAAATACAATCAAGATTTAGCCTTGGGGAATAAGTGAGAACAAGCAGTTAATGAGTGTGAAGATCTGTTATCTGAATACATCTGATTTGATTTCTTCCTCCTTATTTCTGAGAGGATAGAGCCACTGGATTCTGCTCATTTCACTGTACCTCTTACTCAGGAATGAGAAAAGCCATTTCCTAGCCGGATTGTATCTCCACCCTAAGTACTGGAGTCCTGATGGTCACACCTTCTGGATTGTCTGAGGGATAGAATCCCTGAAGGAAATAAGAAGGTTCTTTGGCAGCAACTCTCACTGGCTTCCCTCATTTAAACTATAATAGAATCAAGGAGAAGCAGGGCAATTATATTTTATTTATTTGACCAGGAAAGCACAACACAGGAAGTTTGCTCCTTTAGCATATACTGGAAGAGTCCCCAAAGGGGAAAAAACTTCCTCCCTAAGCTTGTCTTTGCCACCTTCTTCCCTATTTTCCACTCCACTTTCTGCTCCAGGTAGTGTAAAACTAATCTTAGCGCCCACAGGGCTGGGTTGGGGACCAGCCGCTCTGAGATGACGTAATGCTTTCTGCGGTGCACAAAGCAGCCTCCCCCGGGCTGGGCCTCTTTCGCCCCTCCCCCTCCGGCCGGATCGCGCCCCCGCCAGCACCAGCGCGGGTTAGTCCCCCTTTTAAAAAAGCCAGCCCAGGGAAACAGGGAACAAAGGCCCCGGAAGGAGAGCCTCGGCGCTGCCAGGAGGCCCAGAAATAGACATCACGTCATCCCCCAGCCCAGCAGCGCCAAGCGCCATTTGGTAGCATTGGATGGACCCCACCATTACGATGCGGAATGGAGCTTGCAGGGCTCACGTTTCCTTCCAGCCCCGGCATCCAGCTGACCGGCTTAAGGAGTGGCTTCCTTTTTGCTCACCACCCCCGCACCCCTCTTTCCCCAGAGGCCGCCGCCTCCCCTGGCTGCCAGCCACACGGCCCACAGTCTCCAAGCTGCCATCTTGATGCCCCATCCCCCTTGTCACCTCCCTCCCCCGCAGCCCTTAGGAATGGGAGGGGGAGGAAGGGGCACCGCCCTGCGTGCCCCAAGGGGGAGGACTCGGCCTCCCTCACCTCTCCTCCCCCAGAAGGAGGGGTTCACGTCCTCCGCACACTCGCTGTTTCTCACCTCCAGCAGTGCTGACAGTGCACCATACACGGCTTTAGCATCCTGGACTTCCCCACCCTCAGTGTGGCTCTGGCCCTGCCAGTCCCTGCAGCCCATAAGCTCAAGTTCAAGCACTGTCAACTGCCCAATACCCACCATCACAGGCCTGATTTTAGCGGGGCTGGCACTCTGAAGGCTCTGGTCTGGGCTGCATTCTCTGCCCTACCGCTGGGCCCCCTTGGCCTTGCAACCATTCTGACCACCTCGAGCTTAGTTTTCCCGAGTCTACTTACCAAAGCTAGGTCGGATATTGGTGATCTCAGCCATGTCGTAATCAGAGGCTGTTGCTCTAACGTTTTTGCAGTGGTGAGACAACTCTGGGAACCCTCGAACAGTACTAAGGCTGCAGCTGTAGAACTCTAGGTCAGGGAAGGGGGAAGGTATCCAGCGGACGCCTCCTGCGACGGTCCGGCCCCTGGTTGTCAGCTGCGCTCTGCTCTTAATATCCTCCCGGGATGCTCTGAGCTAAGGATGCAGGTGCAGTCAGACTGGTCCTGATGCGAGGTAGGCTCCGCCTTCTTCCGAATGGTCCTCGGAAGAAGACTCCGCCTCTGTCCGAAAGATTCCGGAAGTCAGTCCCCGCCCACTTCCGGAAGATCTCTGGGAAGGACCCCTCTTACCATCGAGTTTTCCCGAGAATAAGGCCCCGCCCACTGACGGGCTGTGGTTCTAGAACGAGAAAGTACCGAGGAGTAGGACGCGTCCGTAGATTATTATGTGAAATCCCTTGATTTCGGTTTCCTGGGCTTTAATATAGCAGTACAATGTTCTCAGTTCTGAATTCCAGAATTTTGGGAAAATAAAATTATGTACTGCCTGGATTTCAGTATGGATTACCGTCATTATGCATGTCTGAGACTGCTAAAGGTTATTACGGAACGTTTTTTTTTTGAGACGGAGCCTCGCTGTCTGTCGCCCAGGCTGGAGTGCAGTGGCGCGACGTCTGCTCACTGCAACCTCCGCCTCCCGGGTTCAAGCAATTCTCCTGCCTCAGCCTCTTGAGTAGTTGGGATTACAGGCACGTGCCACCACGCCCGGCTAATTTTTGTATTCTTAGAGACGGGGTTTCATCATGTTGGTCAGGCTGATCTTGAACTCCTGACCTTGTGATCTGCCCGCCTTCGCCTCCCTAAGTGTTGGGATTACAGGCGTGAGCCACCGCGCCCGGCGAACTTTTTTTTTTAGGCTATTTCACAGTGGATGAAAATTGTCTTAAACCTCAAAAACTCTGATGAAAGACCAAACCTGGGGATGGTTTCACAACTCGGAAAATCTACTAATTTTAAAAAATCATTCAGGCGCCGTGGCTCACGTTTGTAATCCCAGCACTTTGAAAGGCCGAGATGGGCGCGAGGTAAGAAGTTCGAAACCATCCTGTCCAATGTGGTGAAACCCCGTTTCTACTAAAAAATACAAAAATTAGCTGGGCATGGTGGCGCACGCCTGCAGTCCCAGCTACTCGGGAGGCTGAGGCAGAAGAATCGCTTGAACCCAGGAGGTGGGGGTTGCAGTGAGCCGAGATCGTCCCGCTCTGCTCCAGCCTAGACAACAGAGTGAGACAATTCCTCAAAAAAAAAAAAAAAAAAAAAAAAAAATCAGCTGGCATCGTGGCTCATGCCTGTAATTCCAACCCTTTGGGAGGCCGCCGAGTTGGGCAGATCACTTAAGATAAAGAGTTCGAGGCCAGCCTGGCCAACGTGGTGAAACCCCGACTCTACTAAAATGACAAAAATTAGCCAGGCGTGGTGGTGCATGCCTGTAATCCCAGCTACTCGGGAGTCTGAGACACGAGGATTGGTTGAGCCCAGTAGGTGGAGGTTGCAGTGAGCCCAGATCACACCACTGCACTCCAGCCTTGGCAACAGAACAAGACTCTGTCTCAAAAAAAAAAAAAAAAGTCATTTAATGCTCATCAGTAGTGATGCCGCGAGTAAGAAAAAAAAAAAAAGTAAAAAAAAAAAAAAACAAAAAACAGATGGATTTTGTGGTATGTAAAATAAGTTGTTTTTATTATATTTTATTTTTTTTTTGAGACGGAGTCTTGCTCTGTTGCCCAGGCTGGAGTGCAGTGGCTCGATCTGCAACTCTGTCTCCTGGGTTCAAGCATTTCTCTGCCTCAGTCTACCGAGTAGCTGGAATTACAGGTGCCCACCACCATGCCCCGTTAATTTTTTTTTGTATTTTTAATAGAAACGGGTTTCACTATATTGGCCAGGCTGGTCTTGAACTCCTGGCCTCATGATCCGCCCGCCTTGACCTCCCAAAGTGCTGGGATTACAGGCGTGAGCCACCGCGCCAGGCCAATAGCTGTTTTTAAAAAAGACTAATGAAAAGTGTCAAAGTTAGTGTCAGTGTTGAATTTTTTTTCCCCATGAACCTCAAGTGCTTAGAGTTTCATATGGGGAGAGGAGAGGGAGAGAGAGAGAGGAGAGAGGCCAAACCAACCAAAAGATCTGTGCATTCTGTAGGTCAAAGGACAACACACATGAAACTCCGAGCTCCTAGAGTCTTCCTTGGTATTTGGGAGAGTTGGTGTGATTCAGGTTACAGTCAGACTACTGCCGATTATAGCCATGTTGGCATAAATTTCAACCTTCATTTTGGCTGGGGATAATTTCATCCTGTAGGATGCTGTTTACACATAGGATTAGTTCAAATGTATAAATTTTTGTTGGTGGTTTACCTGTAAAATGAGAGGGTTAAAAGCGTTTTTTCCAGCTTTTGACATTCTGTTTTTCTTTCTTTCTTTTCTTTCTCTCTCTTTCTTCCCTTCTTTCTTTTTCCTTCCTTCCTTCCTTCCTTCCTTCCTTCCTTCCTTCCTTCCTTCCTCTTTCTTTCTTTATCATCTTTCTTCTCTCTCTCTCTTTCTTTTTCTTTCTTTCTCTCCTTTTCTTTCTTTCCTTACTTTCGAAGAGAGGGAACGCAGTCCCTCACCGCCGCAAATCATGCAGTCGAGTTTCCCACGTTTGAGGAAATCGCAGGGGTCAGCACATCCGGAGTGCAATGGATAAGCCTCGCCCTGGGAAAACCACCTTCGTGATCATGGTATCTCCCTTGCCAGGTAAGTATGACATTGTTTTTTCTTTTTCTTTTTCTTTTTTTTTTTAATCTCCGTGGATTCCACAGACATTCTGATTTTCTGGAAAAGTGGAATGACATCATTTTAGGATTCATTCATTCGTTCATTCACTCATTCAACAAGCATGTATTGGCCGGGCGCGGTGGCTCACGCCTATAATCCCAGCACTTTGGGAGGCCGAGGTGGGTGGATCACTAGGTCAAGAGATCGAGACCATCCTGGTCAACATGGTGAAACCCTGTCTCTACTAAAAATACAAAACTTAGCTGGGCATGGTGGCGCAGCCTGTAGTAGAAGAATTGCTTGAACCCAGGAGGGTTGCGGTGAGCCGAGATCGCGCCATTGCACTCCAGCCTGGGTAAAAAGAGCGAAACTCCGTCTCAAAAAAACAAAAAACAAAAAAGCATGTATTGAATTATTGAACATCTGTTACACCCCAGATAGCCTCCTGGGCACTGGGTCAATGAATTATTAGCTACAGTTAGGATACTTAACACCTGATTCTCCTTAATAGCTGTCTGTGTACTGTTGTGAAATCACCTACTCAGCTGAGCCAGAACTTTGTCCTGTGAAAACTGGAATATGATATAATAATCTCACAGTTGATTGTGGAGACCAAGTCACCTAAGAGAATGTGAGAGCATTTTGTAAAATGCAGAATATTGTGCATATTTGAATAATTACCATAATCTGAGTCCAAGACTGCCTTAGTTTTAATCAGGAGCCTGCACTATTTGTAGAGCCTTCTTTTTCTGACATTTTATGACTTCTTCAGTCCCTTGGTTCTGTGTCCCAGATGCCTCGTGGTGAGAAAAATTAGTCATGAATTTATGTTTTGGAGACGGGGTCTCACTCTGTCGCCTAGGCTGGAGTGCGGTGGCGCTATCCCCGCTCACTGCAACCTCCGCCTCCCGGGTTCAAGCGATTCTCCTGCCTCAGCCTCCCGAGTAGCTGGGATTACAGGCACCCGCCACCACACAAGCTGATTTTGTGTGCTTAGTAGAGAGACGGATTTCACCATGTTAGTCAAGCTGATCTCGAACTCCCGACCTCAGGTGATCCTCCCGCCTCGGTCTCCTAATGTACTGGGATTACAGCCGTGAGCCACCGCGCCCGGCACCCAGATTAGTTGTTAAACTAAGCCATTGAATCTCAACCCAGTTTTGAGTAGGGTAACTAACTCCATGGGCGAAGAAAGCCAAGTAGTACCTTTAAATTTTTATGCCAATAACTGACGCACTAGCTCTTGGGCTTCACTCTGCCCTAAGATGGGATGGCGCCTAGTGTTTGGCGCATGCTCCTTGATGCCCTGCGGCGCGGCGCTCCGAGGCTCGGGGACGCGCACGCAACTCATCGCCGTTGGCTGACTTCCGGTGGTGCCAGAGCCGTTTCCGCGGAATCAAGCTGGCTGGTGAAGGTGCAGGTTTGTCTGCGTTGGGGCGGGAAGAGGCAGATGGGAGCTGGGACACCTGGGCGAACGAAGTCCAGGATGAGAGGGTCGGGTCTGGGGGTGAGGGCTGGGTGCGTGGCGGAAGTTAAGGGCGTGAAGGTGTGTAGTTGGGAATGGGGACTAGGGCAAGCCCTGGGCGCCGAGGTGGAAGCGAGTTAGGACCCTTTTGAAAATGTTTTCCTAGGAGAGGGCCGTGCCGCGGCTGCCTCCCCATGGGCATTCATTCACCTTGTTGGTCCGACTTGTGTTCCCCAAAAAGTGGGCTATAGAGCTAGCTACTGCTGTGTTTGAGGTGCCTGGAGCTGAGGTAGCTTTTTTTCCTCCTATTTCTTTTTTGTACCTCAGTAATTATTTGTGAAATAAAAGAGTTGCCTAGGCTACTCCCATTCTGTTTCTCAGAAATCCAGTCACCACCATCTCACAGGAATCAACAAAATCTTCACGTTTTATTGAGCTTTAATTACTAAGGACATCAGTTGGTTGAGGGGATGGGGAGTCTCCCCTAATGTCCTGAAGAAACTGAAGGAAGGTTTATTTATTTATTTTATTTAATTAATTAATTAATTTATTTTTGAGACGGAGTTTCGCTCTTGCGACCCAGGCTGGAGTGCAATGGCGCAATCTCGGCTCACCGCAACCTCCGCCTCCTGGGTTCAGGCAGTTCTCCTGCCTCAGCCTCCCGAGTAGCTGGGATTACAGGCACGTGCCACCATGCCCAGCTAATTTTTTGTATTTTCAGTAGAGACGGGGTCTCACCATGTTGACCAAGATGGTCTCGATCTCTTGACCTCATGATCCACCCACCTCGGCCTCCCAAAGTGCTGGGATTACAGGCTTGAGCCACCGCGCCTGGCCTATTTTTTTAATTTTAATTTTTTTTTTTTTTTTGAGACGGAGTTTCGCTCTTGTTACCCAGGCTGGAGTGCAATGGAGCGATCTCGGCTCACTGCAACCTCCGTCTCCTGGGTTCAGGCAATTCTCCTGCCTCAGCCTCCTGAGTAGCTGGGATTATAGGCGCCTGCCACCATGCCCGGCTAA